GAGAACATCACGCAAAAAGGAAAACTGAGGGCCCAACCAGGAGGGCAGCTATGGGGCAGCACAGTGACTGAGCACAGAGTCACTGGGATCAGAGAGACCTCAGTGTAAACCCCAGCTTGTCTGTTTCCCAGCTGTGTGACTTTGGGAAGGGTACTTCACCTCTCTGAACCACCCTTCCTCTTCTTTAAAAGGAGGGTAGTGGTTGTCCCTACCTGAGAAGTGTGTGGGTGGATTAAGTGAGAGTGCACACAGAGATGGGTGGGAGGATGGATAGCTGCCATGAAGTTAGCTCTGACTCACGGTGACCTTACGGACAATAGAGTGAAACGTTCCCTGTCCTGTGAACAGGGAACACGGCTGTGAATCGCCAGCATGTCCGCGTCCACTGTTGCAGTCACTGTGCCACTCTGTGTCACTGTGGGTCCCCCACACCCTCGCCTGCCCTCTGCTTCACCCAGTGTGAAGTACAGCGGCTGATTTCTCCTGATGATGTGTCTCAAGCCAATGAGTCAGGCAGTGTTCTGGTGTGACCCACTGGGTTTCCAAGGGCTGATTTCTAAGTGGTGGATCACCGGCCTTTCTCCCTAGTCTGTCTGGCTCTGAGAGCTCTGCTGAATCCTGTCCACCACGGGTGACCCTGCTGGTATTTGACATGCAGGTGGCCCAGCTGCCAGCCTCACAGCAACACGAGAGCCATCGCAGTGTGACAACCTGACAGACGGGTGGTGGCAGAATATAAAGCACATGGCAATGTTTGAAACAAATACCAGGATTGGTCTTACGGTTGATGTGCGTCACTGAAAGAGATGAGACCCTGTCTGGGGCAGGGCAAGAGTCTCTTTGAACCTCCCTGTGAAGTATGTCTCCCCTCCACTGGCAGGTCTCCATCATATAGCCCATCGCCTGTCAAGAAAAAGAAGAAGAAAAGTTCCAAGAAGCATAAGCGACACAGGTCTTGTCTTTTGTCTTTCCTCCTCTTCAAACAGGGACACCCAGGTGGGGTGGGAGGCCAGGAGGGTGGGTGGCTCCAGAAGGTCATTTGGAAGCGTATCATCTCATGGATGCAAAATACTGACCTGTTTATGGTTATTTCTCTGTGTTTTGTGAATGTAAGGACTCAGTAAGTAAGAGAGTAAGGATCAGAGGCCCACTGTGGGTAACTGATGATGGAGAGACAGGATTGCTCAGGGACCAGCCAGCCTCAGTGAAGGGTTAGAACCAAGGCATGGAGAGCTGATAGAGCCTCACATTCTTGCAAACTAAGGGAGGTGGAGGACCAGCTAGGCGGCGGTGCCTCCCCGGAGCCTGATCACACACCACTGAGACACCCATCCTAAAAGGAATCTTAAACTCGTATTTATGTTCTTCCTTTCTCTTTTCCTTTTTTTTCCCCCCTTCTTCAACCAGGTCATTCTCCAAGAAGAGAAGGCACAGGTAAGGATCTTGTTACCTTTCGCTGATTGCTTCAGCTTTCTGCTTTCCCAGGCAGATGCTGGGCAGCTTCTAGGGTCAGCTCTCAGCCTCCCTCTCTGGAGATGTCCTTGGGCACACTCATTCATCCTCCTGGGCCTCAGTTTCATCACTTCCAACATGAAACCGTGGGCTAGTTTCCCTGAAAGTCCCAAGCCAGCCTTTGACTTCATCAGTCCAGCTGGTTGTTTCTGGCCCGGTCCCTAGAGCTGTCCCTGACTCCTCCCTGGAGTCTCACTACTCTTGTTTGCTTTAGCACTGGATGAAACTTTGGGTTGGGCACCTTGGAGCATGCAAAGAGGTATCACCCCCACCCACCAGGTTAAGTAAACAGCCTGGGTCCCTCTAGTGTCACCTGAAACCTAAGTCTCTCCCCCAAAGCCTTCCTAAATCCTGGCCAAAGGCCAGAGGCCACTCCTGGTATACTGGAAACAGTGGGTGAGTGCAGATAAACCTACCACCTGCTGGGTAGTCAACAGAGTTGGACACTGTAGTGAGCCTCTTCCCCATTACAACCCCTGTGCAGTAGGTATGGCTATTGTTCCTATTTTGCAGATGAAGAAACTGAGACTCAGATAGGAGATGGGACAGGTATGTCCACAGACACACAGCCACAAGGGAGAGCCACAAGTCAAACCCAGGTCTGTGAGACTGAGAATCGGGACAGGCCCAGAGGGTGCCAGTGGCTTCTTGAATAACAATGGCTGCATCTAGAGCAGTATGCAGGGTGCGGAGCCCTTTCTTCCATTCATTGAACATGTAGACATTCATCACCACTCTCATCCACGCACTCATCCCAACAGCCTGAGCAGCAACCCCATTTCACAGTCAAGGAAGCCAGGCCTCAGAGAGGGTGGGTAACTTGCCCATTGTCACATAGCCGCGAAGTGGCAGAGGTGGGACTCGAACTCGGATCTTCACTGCCCAGGCTGTGTCAGTCAGGGAGTCAGCATCTGTGGCTCCTGTCAAGGTGATTTCATTTGGAAAACATAGATTTTTCCCTTCCCAGGACCTGAGGTCAGTTTGGCTTGAATTACCAATTAGTGTTTGCCTTTTGAGGCCCGGCCTATAGTCAGGCTGGGATCCTGAATCAGCATTGTCCATTCTACCCAGGCCTCAGACTCTCTGATCAAAAAAAAAAAAAAAAAAAAAAAGCACTTGCATATTCACGAGCAGAACATTTCACAATCTGCCAAGCTTTGTGAGGCATCAGAGTAGCAGCCAGGATATTCTCTTCTCAGCTAAATGGCTTGAACCAAGTCAAAATCATGGGCTCCCCATGGTCTGGGGAACATCACTGCTCACCTGTGTGACGCTGCCCAACTTCCTTAACCCACCTGAGGTTCAGTTTCTGCATCTGTAAGAGGGAGTGTTTGTTACATAGGATCTAACCTCACAGGAAGTAGGGAGAATACAGTGATGTTGTTGACACAGGTACTCAGCAGACTGCCCTGCCCACAGTGGAGTCTTAAGACAGCAGATACTATTATTATCACCTTTATTTCTACTGTTGTTATTAACCTACCAAAGCTGAACTTGGCCTCATCAGCATCCCCATTCTTAGCGCATATGTATGAGTTGGTGACACAAACTGAAGTGGCTAGTTGTAAAAGTTGGCAGTGACCTTCGTGGTCTTGGACGATGACCAGTGTCCATTCCCAAACTGCCTGAATCTGGCTTGTGGAGTGTGAAGCATTGGAACTACTTGTTTATTTTGATCTTTAACTGAAATTTAGCATCTTTCAATTAATTGGCTATTTCTCATTTAGCTCCTCCAGCCCCAAAAGCAAAAGAAAGGAAGAGAGGAGGCACAAAAAACAGTAAGTAGACACCACCCAGAATGCACTTTCCAGCTGGGGAGGTAGGGAGCCTGGCGTTTTAGAAGCCAGAGTGCTGGAGTTACCCAATGAACAAGGAAAAAGAGAAGAGTAGGGAAGTGGGCGGGAGAGAAGACTGAGCTGCGTGTCCATTCAGTTGTGGGCTTAGGTATGCATGAGGGCACATTGCTGTGTGTCTAGTGTGTTTGTTTATGTGTGCCAGTGTGCATCTGTGTGCTGGTGTGCCCACTGTGAATGGTGTGTATGCGTAGTGTGGACATTGTAAACATCTGTCCATTTTTACATCACGCAAACACTGTGTGTACAATGCAGCTACATCCTATGCGTACGTGCTACATAACTGTGTTCGCACTCTGTGTGCGTGTGCTTCTGTGAGCATGAGTGCTGTGCACGGAGGTGCACTGTCTGCAGTGTGTGCAGCCTGGGAACGCTGCATGTGCACTCTTCCTATGCCCACATCCTGTGTACAGGGGTTGTGTGCTGGTTTGTGCAGTGCATATGCACGTACTGTAGTGCATGGGTGGCTACGGGAGTGAGATTATGCGTGTGCACATGCATGAGCCAGCGTCTAAGGCCCTGCCCTGGTGGCTGACTCTTACAGTGTGGCACTGTCAGCAACGCTCTCATCCCCAGTCTGGGGGCCCCAGCTGTTGCACGGTTTATAGCTGGTAGTAGAAATTCAAATCAGCTAGCGCTGCCTGCGGAGTTCAGTTCGCAGCCAAATTAAAAGTAAATTTGGTTACAACCCACCTCCTTTATACCCTGCAAATGCTAGTGCGTGTGTTTTCCAATCAACTAATATTTTATCTCCCACCAAGAAGCATCTAAAGTGAGGATCAAAGGCAATGAGATCAAAGGCAGTCGGCTGCGGGGGAGGGAGGGGAGGGAGGGCACCCAGCTCTGCTGCCCGGAGGGTCTCTGCGCCCCAGGTCAGTGTGAAGGAGGACCTGGTGAGTGCTCCAGAAGGAAGTAGTAGAGCTTGGCATCAGCTCAGAGAAGAACTTGTGGGTCATGCGGCGTGTTCAGTTCAAGCTCAGAGACAAATACAGATTGCATCCCTTGAGTGTGCTTTCACACATCACGGACAGGGTGCATGATCGGATCACTTGTCCGGTGCTGGTGTCATCCAGCGGTGAGTGATTCCGACTCATAGCAACCCTGTGTGACACAGCAGAGCTGCCCTATGGGGTTTCTAGGCTGTAATCGTTACAGGAGCAGATCACTAATCTTCTTCCCACAGAGCTGCCTGGTGGCTTCAAACAACTGACCTTTCTTAGCAACTAAGTGTTTAACCACTGAGGCATCAGAGATCCTCCTTGTCTTAGACGGCCCAGTACAGGCAGCCACAGAGGCAGGGCAGGGCCCAGACCCAAGAGCCTGGGGAAGGATCAGCACTGAGACAGGGATTGCCTGCATCAGGACGGCAAGGTAGGTAGGCCTGGTGCCAAGAGCCGGATGTGTCCCAGCAATTGCTCACAGGGGCTGAGGAAGGCTTAGGTTAGGCAGGACGTGCAAGCCGGAAGACGGGAGTCAGGAAAGGGAGAAGCAAGCGAAACACAGCACGCCTAAGTTAAAGGGTGTCTGTTGCCAGTGGTTCATACCCACCAGCCACTCCACGGAAGGAAGACTGGGCAATCTACTTCTGTAAAGTAGATTTACTGCCTGGGAAACCCGATGGGGGTCGCTATGAGTTGATGGCAGTGGGTTTGCTTTTTGGTTTGGTTGCCAGGATACTGACAAGGTTTCAGCAGTGCTTCTAGATGAAGATGGACTGGGAAGTCCATCTAGTGAACATGAGCCAGTGAAAACCCCATGGATCACAAGGCTCCATCCATACTTGGCTGTGGGTAGGCACAGGACCAGGCACCGGGCAGCATTTCCTTCCACTGTGCATGGGGTACCAAGAGTGGGGGGCAACCTGATGGCAGCTAACAGCAACATTTTCACCAAATCCTATAGTCAGGGTTCTTCTAAGCAAGTGAGCACTGGAACGATAGAGCCTCCCTTTATTAACATCCCTCAGGGAGGCCCTAATATGGGGTAAACCCACTGCCAGGCCCAAGGACAGAGGTTACCAGATGTTCTCCTGGGCTTGAGGAGCTCCTAGTGCATAGTAAATGGACATGTGACAGGTCGCAGTGCAGCAATGGCAGACAAGCCCAGGGCGTCATGGGAAGCTGGTGCTGGAAAGAAGGCTTGGTGAGAGGAGGCTGCCTGCAGGAAGGGGCCTCTAGCTTGTGGGGGAGGTAACATTCTAGGCTGCAGTTTAAGCAACTTTTTAAAACTCCTAGTGCCTCCATTTCTTCGTCTGTAAGGAGAATAATAACAGAATCTACTCCGTAAGTTGTTGTAGAGAATATTGTTAGTAGCTGTCCTATGATGACCCCGTACACAGTGGAACAAAACGCTACCCGTCCCGGGGCCATCCCCCTGACTGGCTGTGGGCTGAAGCATTGTGGTGCACAGGGTTTTCACTGCCTGATTCTCAGAAGTAGTTAAGCAGGTCTTCCTTCCTGGTCCATCTTAGTCTGGAAGCTCTGCTGACCCCTGGTCAGCATCAGAGCAACATACAAGCCTCCCCTGAGAGCCGTGCATGAGGACACAGGCCAGAAATCCAACCTGGATCTCCCACAGAGGAGAGAAGGGAATTTTTCCACTGAACCTTCACTGCCCTTGCTCCACACAGATCCCCTGCACACTTACCTGCTGTCCCTCTGTGCTGGCACACCTAGGAGAGCCAAGGAAAGGGAGGGGAGGGGGAAATGCAGACCTGCCTGGGTAAAGGCAGGTGGAGACTGATGGAGGGGGTTGATTACTCCTGCCTTACAGACCTCCGTATTATGCATCACATAAATCTGAGGCTAAGACAGTGGTTCTCAAACCCTGCTCTTCTGGATCCTGGAGTTCCTGAAGTTAGAGTGGTCACCCGAAAAAACAGGATCTTTTGCTGGTTTTCTTTCTTTCCAACTTTTTATTGTGATTGGGGTACAATTTTACAATGCAGATTCCTTTTACATTCAAGAGGTCATACACATTTTGCTTTGCAGCATTGATCCTCACAATGTAACAGCTCTCATTCCTGTGGTTACCCGGTCCCTATGCCCTTCTTAGCTATGTGTTCCTCCCTCCCTAGCTTTCTCCTAGGCCAGTGCTGCCCTTCGGATCTCCCATGGTTGACTGTACTAAGGCATGTATCTCTGTGGTGTAGCTGTTCAGCTCTTAGGCCTGTCTATTGTTTGGCTGAGAATTAAGCTACGGGAGTGAGTCCAATGCTGAAGGGTGACTTGGGGCCATAGTCTCAGGAGTTTCACCAGTCTCTTTTCAATGCTGGGCTTTTTTATGCTTTTGTTCTACATTATTTCTCCCACTTTCTCCAGGATCTCCAATTTTGATCCCCTTCTGAGTAGTTGTCAGTGGTATCTGGGCACCTTCTAGTTCTTCTGATCTCAGGGTGTGTAGACTGAGGTTTCCATGGTCCTTGGACTAATTGTTTCCATGTGTCTTTGATTTTCTTCACTCTTCATTGCTCCAGACGAGGAAAGACCAATAGTTACATCTCAGATGGCTGCTTCCAAATTTTTAAAACCCAAGTAACTCCTCACCAGAGTAGGATGTAGAATGATTTTTGTGTGTATTGTGTGTGCCAATCGAGACTGATGTCCTCTATGACAATGGTCCTGAGCCCACAGGCCCAGTGACTCACTCCATCAAGGTGCTTGGTTATGGCTAGGAAGTTAACCTAATTTTGTTCTGTTAGCTCTATAACATATATAGATATTTTTACAGCACATAGAAATATATGTGTAGGAATATCATCTGTTAAACCAATATATGGTGATGGGTATATTCCTGTTTTTTCACCTACCCATTCCTTATCTTCTTTCTATCTACTTGTGTGTCAACCTATAGATCAGTGTTTGTTATTACTGATAATATGGTATTGTGTATGTATAAGTGTTGATCTTTGTTGTCTGTACCTCTTGTACACACCTTTTGTGTTTTCCTTTTCCTTAGTGTTATTTTGTACATCACATACTTTTGGTTTATTGACTTTTCGCCACCCAAATCAGCATATGTCTCTTTTTTTTTTTATTAGGATTTGGGTGAAGATTTACAGAGTAAATTCACTTTTCATACAGCAGTTCACATATACTTTGTCTCATGTCATTGACCAAAAT